TTGAGAGGGAAGTTTCCCCGAATCTCTTGCTTCAAGTCTACTCACAGCTTCAACTATTTGACTCATTTGAGTTTCCAGTTTTAAAATGCTAGACTTGGTCTCATTTTGGAATTCCACAATGTTTTGTTGCATGGTGGTCATGTTGGTAGCAAGAGTCAGAATAATGTCTTCCGTGGACATGTTAGAGGTCGAGAACGGATCATACCTCATGTGAGGTTCCTTCCCTTGGAAACCAACATCATCATCGATTCGTTCGAAGTATTCTTCTTGGAGCTTCGGGCAAAAATCCGTAAGATGCCTGTGAGACATGCAAATGTTGCATGTCTCAACATCTTGAGCTTTTGAGTTTAATATAAATTCCTTTATTAGAGAAGTCAAAGTGGAAATTTGACTCTCTAAGGATGTTATATTGGTATCCATATTCTCATAACTCATGTAAGCTCAGAAAATAGAAGAGTAAGATTTTTTTTTATAATTTTTTTTTTATTTTTATGAGATAAAATAAAAAGAAAAATAATTGCCTTTCCCCGGCAACGGCGCCAAATTTGACGTGCACTTTGTCGTGTGTGCACTCAAAATAATTTCAATACTACCACTTATACGTAGTATAGCGTAGTAGAGTTCGTATCCACAGGGAAATGAATAATTCTCTTTTTATGAACTAGTAAATAAAAGGGGGATTTTGGTATTGTTGGAATTTAATTAATTAAATACTAAGATGAAGGATTTATATGAGATTTAATTCAAAGATAAAAAGGACTTGGCATTGCTACTTTCCACTTGTTGATATATTTCAGTCGATCATTGTTATATCTATAACTTATCTCCTCTCGAATACTCAATCGAGGAGTATATCCAATTCATCGAGGAAAGTTATTAACAACGACCGTTCATTAATAACCCTTACTATTAGTCAAGTATAGAACAACGCCATATACCTACTTTATAGTAGCATTTAATCTCTTAACTCCTTGATGAAATCAATTGAGATTGATAACCTCAACACAACGGTTTCGGTTTAACCAACAAAATTAATCCCTCTTAAGTTTACTAACCACGACCGTGCATTAATAAACCGAAGTTACTTACTTGTGAAACCATCAACGATTAACCATCGGTTCGTTGATCGTTTCTAGTAATAATTAATATTTGAAACAAAACTAGTTGATCCTTTAAGTAATGTTCAAAAATATTAATATAAAATATGAATAAGAATTAATTAATACTCAAGGAAGAATATTAAGGAAAATGAATCCTACAATAGTTAATATCAAGATGTTAACTAATTGTCATCTTAGTAACACTCCCCAATATTAACATAGAGGAAGGAATAGCTATTACTAAGACCAATGTCAAGATGTTAACTAATTGTCATCTTAGCAACACTCCCCAACATTGATGTAGAAATAGTATTTAAGAGAAGCATTAATATTCAAGGAAAGAAGTTAAGAAAATAACTCACAACTTTAATAATCAACAAGCTTCAAGAGCAACACCAAGATATGGAAGTTTAGCTCCTCATTTGGAGACTAAACATGCTATAAAAATATAAAAGAAATACTATTCTAAACTGAGCTTAAGAGTATGGAAGAAGGAGTTATTCTTTGTGAAGGAAAATGGGGTTATTTATAGGTGTTTTTCAACACCTTGGGTCGGGTACCCGACCGGGTTAGGTGCTTACCCGACCGGGTCCGGTCAAAATCAGATATCCTCCACGTTCTGGCGATCTTCGGCACGTTCTGGTGTCCCGGGTCAAGTCTGACCCGACCGGGTCAAGTAGGGGACCCGACCAGGTCTAATGATTTTCCAGACAGTTTCGGATTTTACATCAGACCCGACCGGGTGCATGGTCTGACCCGACCGGGTTTGTGCTTCTGGGCACACTTATCACCTTTTTCTTCACTTCAAAGTCCTCCTTTTCAACACCCTAATTCCTAACTCTACTTTACAACTTACAAATGAAGATTAAAATACAATTACAACTAAAATCACACAAATGTTTACAAACTAAATAAAACGGTAAACAATCCACACAAATCAAACATAAAAACATACACTTATGCACTACTAATTAGTGCATATTAAACACCCCCACACTTGAACCTTTACTCGTCTCGAATAAACCAAACCCAGTCCAAGAAGTCCTTAAATTGACAAGAGTATCAACACCAACATCAATGAAATAAAGTTAAGTAAAAAGCACCTGAACTTTTTTCGATCAATGAAACACAAAAAATTGTAGTGGGAATAAATACATCCTTGAATTATATAACAGATCAAGAACAGTTCTTCCTTGACTATTCGACATAGGGGTGTGGTTCTTCAAACTTTACATTTTTTGAGTTCAATTGTTCCCAAAGAAATTTCTGGGTATATTTAGTGTCTAGCATATAGTTAAAATGCGCATTTGCTCTGCGCATTTATTATCGACGCTCATAAATTAGACCACAATTTTCGGCTGTCCCTGAACAGGTCACATACTTCGAAAATTAATAAAAAGTTCACAACCTTGGTCATCAGATGAGGATCAAGTTCTATATTACTACGTATGCTTTTGCAAGTATGCATTCAACCCGTCTGCACCAAGGACTTTAAATTTAGGCATTCAGTCCATGAGATATCAAATTAGCTAAATCTTATAGTATAGCTAGGGGTGAACAAAAAAAAAACTTTAAACCAAAACCGACCTACAAACCGACCAAAATCAAACCAACCAAAATCGAAACCGACTTAAACCGACTAATCATTGACGGTTCGGTTTACAGTTTCTGTTATATAAAATTCATATAAACTGCATGCATTAATTAAATAAAAATAAAGAAAATGGAAAATACTTGGACGAAACCGAGCTCAATGAATCATTGTCTCTTTAAGACGAATTTGCCCACAACACATGTAGCAATCGCCTCCCAGGATAGAACGGTTTTTCGTTCCCGAAGGACACCAGCGAGCCAAATGATGCACTAAAGTGGTGGAATTTGGAAGAGGAAGATCGATTTCAAGAAAAGCTTTTAGCATTTTCGGACTTCTTATCTATGAAAAACGCAGGCCTTCTAATGGGATTTATAGTGCTCTTTGGCCAGAAGACACAATCCCAAAAGGTGCCCGTTAAGAAAAGGTAGCGACCCTTTTCTTAAAGTTGCTTTTATTTGAAATTAACTAATTGTACGAAAATCGTGTTTAAGTCTTAAAGCCACGTGGGTACCCACCCGTACCCGAAACCACACCCAACCCGGCCGGCCAGCGGCGGCGCATGAAATGCAATTTCACGCTCTCCGTGTGCGGGGGACAATTTCTCATTCATTTCAAAATGGTTTTCTACAAATAATATAATGAAATATTAATTTGTAAACCATTTTTCCTACAGTTTCACCTTTCGGGTTAAAAAATCAACCGAACCGAAAAAATTTAAATAGGTCAGATCAGATCAGACTTTCATAGTTATAAGATACACATAGACTAGACATTCACCTAATCAAACTAGACCAGATCAGTTCAGATTAGACTAGACTCAAACAGACTAGACCAGACCAACAAATTTCGATCCTAGCATTAAAAACATGTTAATGTGTGAAATCTGAAGCCCTCATATGCACCACGTGCTCTTGGAGACGGCCCGGCCTCTCTATATGTGAAAGTATCCAAAGTTTGTTAAGGACGACCAGTAAATCGAACAGCTTGACAAAAATGTCATGTGTTTTTCCTAGTTAAGTTCCCGGTGGTGAATAGTCAACTTTTTCCAAATTTACTGCAATCATTCCAGGATACCTTAACAAAATCACCCCAAACTCATCTTTTTTAATATAGTATTTATAACATAATTTCTTGCTTGATTTCTTTAACGATAAGATTATAATTACATTTTGAATTTTCTATTTTTGCCATTACTTTAAATGATAACTTTAATTAAAAAAAAACTAATTAGGCTAGAAGTTTGTCAGATACTTCGTATAATAATGAGTAATGCAATTCATACTACTGCACTATAATTTATAATATTTCAGTAAAATAAAGTCACTTAAAACCAAATCCGATTATACCACAGAGATTTAAACAAACAACATTATATGCGGAGTTTAGATACGTCTTGATAAAATGAAGTCACATCAATTCAAAATTCCAATGAAGGACTAAGTCAATATTCTTACGTACGTGAACATATATATAAAAAAAACAAAAAGACAAAAAAAAGCTCATGACAACAATGTGTGAATACTATACTACCAAGTGCCAAGTTGACTTCTTACTATTTTGGGTGCTCGATCACTTCTCTTGTTTAAATTAAAAACACTTGACTTTTTTAAAGTCTCAAGCAACGTCGTACGGAATAAAATCTTTATCAATTTTTCAACACTTATGTTTTCTTTTGGACTGTTTTCAGTCCCAGACCAGACCAGACCAGACTTAAACAGACCAGACCAGACCAGACCAGACTTAAACAGACCAGACCAGACCAGACCAGACTTAAACAGACCAGACCAGACCAGACCAGACTTCCGTAGTTATAAAATACACAGAGACCAGACGTTTACCAGACCAGACCAGACCAGTTCAGACCAGACCAGACCAGACCAGACTTAAACAGACCAGACCAGACCAGACCAGACTTAAACAGACCAGACCAGACCAGACCAGCAAATTTCAGTCCAAAAGAAAACATCCTTAAAGCCGTCGTCAGATTAATCATCCACGAAACAACCCCAAGTCCCCAATTGCTCATAATTAATAATAATCTCATCGGCCAAACGTAGCCAAGATTAAGAGACCAAGATTAAGAGACCAAGATTAAGATTACTAATAGCTAGAATATATGCGAGTGGTTATCATTAGTGCTTCATTGAGATCACTAATCTCTACGTGAATATATATAATCTAGCTCCTCCTATATCATGCATTGATTTCGACTTTGACTTGAAGATTAACAAATGAATGTCGTGCCATATCATTGAATATATATCCAAAATAGAGAGAATATAATAACCAAAGATTATTACTCACTCACCCACTAATGAAACATAGAGATAAAAATATATCCTAAAAATTGCATTATTTGGAATAGTAGGCAATAGTTATCGTTAGAAGTCATTTTTGGTTACATTAAGCTTTAAGAATATGAGATTTAGTTGGCTAATGGTAGATTAGTGGATCCACTGATCGCCTTGAATGAAATTAGAAAGGGAATATGAGCTGACACGGTCTTCCGGCACGGTGCTGCTCCACTCCACACGGCCAGATGTGTTTGTCCCCGTGTTTCCGTATTCCCCATAATACAACGTTTTCAATGCAAACTCTCCAACCCACGGAAACCACCCTTTTTCGGAAATCATGTCCCCATAGTTACACCCTATGAACACCGTCCTCGAGTACTCCCTCCATGGCCGTCCCAGGTAGGTATGGTGCACCTTCTTGTGCTTCCGGTACACCTCCATGTACTTCTCCGTCCCGTTGATGGAGCAGTTCTGGAACACGAACCCCGTCGACTGCACCGCCTCCAGCCTCCCGTGGGCCGTGATCACGTTATCCTCCCCCGCCTCCGGCGTGCTTGGCCTCGGAGCGATTAAGATCTCGCAGTCCTGGAAGAATGCCGCGGCGTTGCCGAATATGAAGTCGACGTTTCCTTGAATCCGGCAGGACTTGTAGTACTGCCGGAGCGCTCGGGCGTAAAGGGTGTCTTGGTTTCCTCGGAACTCGCACGATTCCATGACGGTCCGGTCCGCATCGGACCGGAACGCCACTGCGGGATTCCCGACCGCAGTGTTTTCGAATGTGATGTCACGAGCCATGAATCCGTCCCCGACCACCGCAACGGTAGCCGACTGCATTGTGCTCATTCCCGGTTCACCCGCATTCATCAGAGAGCCGGTAATCACCGTTTTGCCGATGCCGTCTCCGAGTAAAACGACGTTTTGCTGGTCCAGAACCACCCGGACCGTCTCGTTGTAAACTCCGGCTTTGATCCAAATGACAAACTTTCCGGCGGCGTTAAACCGGGGCGCCGCATCAACCGCCTCTTGCACCGTCTTGTACGTACATTGATCTCCGCCGTCGTCCTTGCACACCGTTGCATTATAGGGCAGGCCCTTGGGAACGCCGCCGACGAATCCTGACCACTGACTGTTCACCGGCTCCCAGAAGCCGTCGCGTTCCGTCAAGATAGGGCCCCACGAGTCAGTGTCGTCGCCGTAAATATCGTAATTCGCCAGCATGCTCAGGGCGTCGCGGGTGGTCGGAACCAGGGTGGTATTACTAAAATCCATAAAAGCCGCCACCTCGGTTGTGTTAACATTTTTTAAGGAAGCCAAGACTCCGAGGTTGAAAGATAGGGCGGCGCCCATCCATGCACGGCCGTCCTTCAGCTTTTCACGGCGGGTAAAGTCGCTTTGAACCGTCATCATGACGCGATACCTCGCGTACACTACTGACTGAAGGGAACTGTTAGCAGCTTTCGTGAGGTTCAGATTCGCGCCGGAATTGGTTAGGATATTCTTCAGCTGAGATTCGGCGGTTTCGAGATTCTGGAGAGTCAGATTCAGTAGGGACGAGATGACTTGGAGAGCGGTTGTGGTTGTTCCCGGTGGCACGTGACCGGACTGGTTTATCACGCTTTCGCATGATGCTGGGTCACGTGAGGCCTTGCACGTGGAAACAAGGATGTTGGAAGGAGTGGCGGAATAATATTGCTGTCCCATATTAGGGCGGCTGGCCATGGCAGAAGCAAAGAGGAGGAAGGTGGTGATAAGCGCAATAGAGAAGCTCCCCATTGAAAATGGCTTTGGGTTCAAAATATATTGAATGGATCAATGGATTGAATCAAGTGTTTGAGATGGATGGCAGCAAAGTTTAATTAGTACTTTAGTACTTCACTTCCATGCATTTGAATTTATAGGATATAAAATTCCTTAGGTATGGTGTGAACGTGTGAATTATTTTTGCTTCAAATGATCATTTATCCATTTGATTGCTTCAAATGATCATTTATTCATTTGATTGATTAGATGAACACGCACACTGAATTACGGCGTACGAACAAGAAATTACAGTGCCGTAATCTATGATGGATGCAGTTAACTGAAAATATTTCTATCTACAGTTTTTACAACACAAATTAAATACCACCATACATACGCGTTACGAAGAGAAAAGAAAACAGGGAGTATTCCAAAACGTTGTTTTGGAATTTAAAGATACAGTTGTTATTTTTTTTTAGATGTTTTGAGAGTAATGGCTCTAAAATGACAATAAATTAATATTGTCATGAATGTGACTCATATTTTGAGAAAGAAAACATAGCAATCCTATTTTGAAGTTTCAAATCTTGTTGTGCTAAACTTGACTTATTATATCAAGTCAACGATGTTTAGTTTTGACCGTTGACACACTTGTAATTTCCATATATTTGTGTATGTTTTTAGTTAGCTTTTGTTGTTTGATACTTTGGAAATTACACACTTTTGGTGTAATAGTTATGTTTGTAAAATAGTTGTGATATGTTAAGATTAGGTCTATTCTGAGCTAAAACAGGTCCAGGATCAATCAAATGATCATTGGTGAAACCAAAAGAGGAAGGAAGGTGCAAGAGTACAAGACAAAAAGGAAAGTTCCTGATTTTGACTTGTACCCGGTCGGGTATACCATATAACCGATCGGGTACCCACTTGACTTTCAATCAGATCAATTCGGGAAACAAAGGGATGTGCAGGGAAAGATTTGGCCACGATCAGTTGTTATACCCGATCGGGTACACCGACACACCCGATCGGGTACACGAGATGTTGACCCAAAAAGCCTATAAATACATCTCATTTTCTTCACAATTAGATACCAATTCCTATACACTTCTAAACTCAGTTTAGTTAAGTACTTTCTTTATATTTTTATCATGTTTAGTCTCCAAATGAGGAGGTAAACTCTTCCATCTTGGTTTTGCTACTTTGAAGCTTAATAATTGTAAGTTGTGAGTTATTTTATTTAACCTTCGTCCTTGAATATTAATTCTTCCTTTAATCTATCTATATATTAATGTTGGGGAGTGTTACTAAGATGACAATTAGTTAACACCTCGACATTAGTTATAGTAGGATTTATCATCTTTAATATTCTTCCTTGAATGTTAATTAATTCCTATTCATATTTCATATTAAAGAAATTGCCCAAAAGGGGACTAAAACATGGATTAAACTCCAAAATAGGACTTTAAGTTTTTTATTTCCTAAATAGGACTCCAGATTACATTTTTGCCCTTCTTTAATTAAACCCAATATCTCGCGTCTGCAATTCATCGCTCTTCCTCCATCGTTGTTCTGCCCCCTTCATCGTTGCTCTGCCTCCTTCATCGTTGCTTTCTCCGGATCTGCTGCAATTCATCGCAGCAACTCCTCACATCACTTCCTCCCATATATGGACCGCAGCTCCGCCGTCTACCATAGGTAATCTCCTCCTCTTTTCTTCTTCTTCTTTTTCTTCTTCTTCTTCTTCTTTTTCTTTTTCTTCTTCTTCTTCTAATCCTCTTCAAATTTCTTGTCCTATGTTCTCTTCTTCTTTGGATTTGAATTTTATTTATTAATTTGGTTTTTTTTGGATTTGAGTTTTATTTATTCAGGAAAATGGCACTTTGATAATCTGAAAATGTCAAAATTATTAGTTATTTGAAAAAAATGTCATGTTTGTGGCAATACATTTACCAGGATGACAATCTGAAAATGTCATTTTCCTTTTGAAAATGTCATGAAAATGATATTTTTGCTTTTTGTAAATGTCATTTTCTTCTTTGAAACTGTCACCTTACCAAAGTGACATAAAATTGTCACTTTTATAATCATTTTCTTCTTTGTAATGTCATAAAAGTGACATTATTAGAAACTAGTGTTCAAAAGAAGAAGAAGAAGAAAATTTCAGATTGAAGTGATGAGAACAATAATATGAATCTTTTAAAATAAAAAAGAAGAAGAAAATAGAAGAGTAGTAGAAGAAGAAGAAAACATGGAGCTTGAGAAGAAGTTAACGGAGGAGTAGAAGAAAAAGATGAAGAAGGAACTTACCTGGGCAAATAGCGAAGATGGCCGTCCATCTCTAGGCGTTCCAGCGAATCGATGCAGCAGGAGTTAAGAAGGCTATTTTTGTCTAAATACAAATAATTAGTCCTATTAAGGGAATTTAAAACATTATGTCCTATTTTTGCAATTCTACCTTCTTTTAGTCCTATTTAGGGAAATCTCTCTTCATATTAATATTTTTAACATTACTTAAAGGATCAACTAGTTTTGTTTCATATGTTAATTATCACTAGAATCGATCGACGAATACGCTTGTTAACCATTCGGTCTTTTCACGGTGGTAAGCTTAGATTATTAATGCATGCGTCTCATGGTTAATAATCTAAGATGAATTAATTATATTGATTAAACCAATAAACCGCTTGTGTTAAGGTTATCAATCTCAATCGTTTTCATCTTAAGTTTATTGCTACTATCAGGTTAATATACGGCGTGTGTTCTATATTGACTCGGTAGTAAATTTTATTGATGAACGCGTCTCGTTATTAATAACTACCCTCGATGAACTGGATATACTCCTCGATTGAGTATTCGAGAGGAAGATAGTTAAAGATATAACCGGGATCGACGAACATTTCATTAAGTGGATAAATGCAAAACCAAGTCTTCATCTCTATTAATTAAACCACATAAGTCGTTCATCTTAGTGTTAATTAAATTAAATCAAATCAAACTAAAATCCCCCCTTTGTTACTAGTTATATAAAAGAAAAGTATTCATTTCTCTGTGGATACGAACCTTACTTCATTATACTACATATAATTGTTGTATTGAATATTTATTTTGAGTCCACACTGCGACAAAGTGCACGTCAACCGATTATATCTTTAATTATAAAAATACTGATAAATAATATGTAGATGATATAAAAATGTTCTTTGCCAAGAATAATATGGAGTATGATAAAGGTATAAAATTATTAATTTTTACATAAATATATTGATTAAAATAATGGGATAAAGTTTACCATATTTGAGTGGAAAAGTCAAAGGTAGCTAAATAAAAATGGATTGAGGTAGATTAATATCTAAGACATTTTGTTTACCATATTCTCTATCTAAGACATTTGCATCCTCCCAAAGATTTTGTTTGATTCAATCTGGAGCTGCGTTCATAATTGTAAGCCCGTTGTTAGATTCATAACTCGTGTTTGCTAGTCTATCCGCACATTTATTCTCTTCGCGCAAAGTATGTTAAAGGCAAATAAATCTCTCCTCCATAAGTAATCTCTGACAATCCCGGCTAAGGTTTCTAACAGATGTTCCACACTATTCCCGTGTCTTCTTTACCGCATTAGTCATACTTTCTAAATCCACCTCCAGTATGATCCTATAATGTCCAGTCTTTCTTGTCACAAAAAGCTAAGAGTCTAAGACCCTATTGTAGTTCACATAACTCTGCATTAAAGTTGTTAGTTTTGCTGATGTTTAATGTTAACCCGATAATCCATTCACCTTTATGGTCTCTTAGTACCCCACCTGCCCCGACATCCCCTTCAGCCCTACACGACCAATCACAATTGAGTTTCAAATATCCGGCCGGATGGCTGCTATTTCACCACTCTAGATTCTTTAGTTTTCCAAAGTTCTTTTGTCAAGCTCGTACTCTCATACTTAGCTGCTAGCTTGGTGGTTGGCTATGCTATGCACTCAATCCACGTCCGGTGAAATCCCTTAAAAAACCCTTGCATTTCGCGCTTTCCAAATACTCTAGATTCTATAACGTAGGTAGAATCATATTGTCACCTTATATTTACTTATTAAATTATCAAATATGGCTACACTATTTAATTACACCATCCACTTATTAATTTAATTTTCTTTGATTTCGGTTTAATTTATGAGAGTTTTTAATAATTATTGTTTTTTTTGCAAGCCCGAATTTCAAATTAAATACGAAAGCGTTTTGAAATTTAAAAATAGGAGTACTGTATTTCTATTCTCTAAATAAGTGTAACTATTGTCATACCTTGAAAATACACTATGTTTAAAGCATTGTAATTTGTAATACTAAAACATGCTAGTAATTAAAATAGGTATGGTGTGAAAGCTTGAATATTTGCTTCCTTTAGTTGATAAGAGATGAACAGTACACTCTTTCCAAAAAAAAGATGAACACGCACACTGAATTACGGTGTACGGACAAGAAATTACAGTGCCGTAATCTATGATGGATGGATGCAGTACAGTTAACTAAAACTATTTCTATTCAAGAGAGATTTTAGAACACATGTATACCGGCATAATTATCAAATTGCTAGAAAAAGAGGGGCGCCGTTCACCAAATTGGTAAAAAAATAGCTCATGACATATTTGTAGAAAAATGTTCCGGCAACAAATTGGAAAACAACAATGCTTCGTCTATAAATTGGACAATATTTTGTGAGTGATTTGCACAAATTGTTAGCACATAAATGTATATTTTATGTTTGCTTTGTGATGATCGTTTGTTTGGTAGTAAAATCAAGTCTTTTATCTCATTGAATTAAAAATCTTACTACCTTTGTCCCAATATTGAATTGATAAAGTGTGAATAAAGTGAGAATGATTGTAACCACACAAATATTACCAAATATGGTATGACACAAATTTAATGGGACGGACGAAAAAAGTAAAATGGGACAAAGTTAGGGGGCAGAGGGAGTATAAGTTAGTTGTTCATATTAATGTTTAATTATTTAAATCAAACCATTCTAAAAAAAACCTTTTAACTACAAATTCCATAAAAGAAAAGTATTCATTTTTCTGTGGATACGAACTCTACTACGTTATACTACATATAAGTGTTAGTATTGAATAAAA